ATTATTTAGGAATGTTTTAAAAATGTGGTAATTGAGCCTGGGCTTTGAAATTTTCAACTCTATTCTCAGCTGCTCACTTTCTGTCTGATTTTGCTTTTGTAAAAATTAACCAGCACTTACACTGGGAGGTAGAATCATGGCTTCTAATGTCATAAAGCAAACAGGTCTTCTATCTAGACTTGCTTTAATTCACCTGGACACGTCACTCCGTGGTTATGAAAGTTGCTAGATCACGTTATCTGTATGTGTTGTGTGTGTTTTTCTTGGCCAGCGCCTCTATCTCCGTTCTATTCTCAGCATGGCTATTTTCCTCCTCTAATACTTCACACCACATGACAAACGCCTCTAGATCATCCTGTTGGCCAACCATTGCTTTCTCCTTCGACACCCACCCTTTTGTTGCATAACTTCCCCTCCTGGCGTAAACCTCTTGGTTTTCCATCCGAGCTCTATTCCTCTGAGAAAGAAAAGTGGAGGGACAGGGATCTTGGTGAGAAAAGAAAACTAATCTGGTTTTCTTTCTGATTCTTTAAGAGTGGTGCCATGGACACATGGACTTGCTCAGTTCCTCAGTCATTGCATCTCTCTCCGTTGTGCTGCTCTGGGCCTTCCTGGTGTCTAGAGAGTAACCTTCTCCCTGTGAAATGTTCTTTCTCCCCCTCTGTCTTCTCTCTTGAGCTTATAGATTTTTGTCTCTGTATAGTTTCAGTATGCCTGGATTTCATTTACCACATTTGAGGTAAATAATACCAGTTCCCCCCCACAAAAAGGTTCAGATTTCAGTTACCACAGTATATTAACTGTAAGTAATTGCATAAACTACGAAGTGTCCTCCCAGCTTTGGGGTCCACGGATCACTGCCTAAATAACAGATGTGCATCACGCTCTCAGCCAACCACATCACTTTTTTCCAGGTCTGTCCATGATTGGTCACTGAGCACCTGTTACCCTTAGACAACAAGTGTGTAGTTGTCTTGCCTGCTCATCTCCTAGAGGTGAACCCACAATATATTATAGAAATGGATAGTTGAAAGAGGAGGTTGGTCAACAAAGATGAATTGCTAGAAATGAAATTGAATGTGATTAGAAAGATTTGGAAAATGACAGTGGCCGGGTGAAACTAGGATGAGACGTAGGCCCACATGAAGTTATGATATAAGCCATATTGAAAAAGCCCAATGAATATAAAAACCAAGGTAGAGGCACTCTGACATTTTTTAATGTAAATTGCACAAGGAACAGAAAGCTGCCTGTGATTTAAACAGAACATTTACTACTAGTTTGGATTGAAGATTATTTAAGAAAAAAAAAAAAAAAAAAAGCCTCCATCAGTTTGGCTAACATTCAGATTGTGTTGAAGTTAGTTGCCTCCTTGAAAGAAAACAGTGATTACAAGGGGAGTGAAGAACTTTACTGCCAGAGATGGTTCATCATTTCAGAATTCATCACGAATTGACTAATGTTTAGCTCCCTGGGGAGGCTGCTAGTGTGAATAAAAATGCTGCTGTGAAATTTGTACCCAGATTCCAAAGATCAGTTAAGGCGGGTGTTATGATTGTCAAGGAAGGCAGCCATCAAGAACTGAAAGAACAAAAGATACAGGATTGTGAAGTGATCAGGAAGGATATAAGGGATAGATGAACTTGCTTATAGGCGACAATTATTTTTTTTTTAATTATTTATTTGACAGAGATCACAAGTAGGTGGAGAGGCAGGCTGAGAGAGAGAGGAGGAAGCAGGCTCCCCGCTGAGCAGAGAGCTCGATGCAGGCCTTGATCCCAGGACCCTGAGATCATGACCTGAGCCAAAGGCAGAGGCTTAACCCATTGAGCCACCCAGGCGCCCCAAGAGTGTGACTTTAAAATCCATGTTTACCTGGCCAGTTGGCTGTGGCCAATGAATTGGGGTCAGGAAAATACAGTTGTGGGTACCTGGGGGTACAGTCTTGGAGTATGAGGGAGAGGTGCCATAACACCAGGTTTTCTCTTAGTCTTACTTACATGTGCTTACATGTTTGGGGGGCAGAGATCCTTAGTTTAGAAGATGACACTTTTCCAGAAAGGGAGAAGCTTAGAAATCGTTAATCTAATCCCTTGCTTTGTGAGATTTAGGCTTAGTGTAATATTCAGAAGTTAAATGAAGATAATACATTGTTTAAGGATAGAAAGTCAAGAAATATGATTTAAGAAACACATGGTAACTTATATTCTTGAATTTGGATTTTGCAGTCTCCCCATACTCCTCCAACTCCTTTTTGTGATGAGAAATATCTGTTTACTTTCCTAAAATTCTCATGGTGGGGGTGGAGGTCAGGAACTAGCCGTGTTAGTTTTTTCCGATTATTTTGTAGCCTTGTTTATAGCTAAATTTGAAGGTGGGTAAAAATAAGTGATGAATTAGGAACTGCATTGTCTAAGTAAATGCCTCTGCAAGTTAAAGGGATTACATATAGTTAGAGTTTGCAGAGCTGAAATTCATAATTCTTGGCTTGAATTACTTTTGGGAAATGTAATTTGCAATTACTCAGTAAGCTCTGATGAAAAAAGGAGGAACTTTTGTTTACTTTTGCATTTACTTAAAAATCATTACCTTCTTAATTATAAAAGTAATATATGTTCGTTGTAGAAAATTTAGAAAACATCGGTCAGCATAGACTGTATGTTAAATCACTGTCCTCTGGACGGCTGTTAGCTATTACTCAGCAGTGTGCCCTCCCGTTGTTTCTAGCCTCCTGGTGCTGCTCTGATAGTTGGTGCCCTGTTGGGTTGTCGTAGTCCATGCCATAGCAGTTGGTAAATAATGTGTGCAATCCAACTTCTCTGGAGTCATTACTGTTAAAAATTCTGGCAACTTGAAGTTAATTTTTTCTGTATATCTTAACTTTCCCCCCTGTAATATCATATCCTGAAAATCTGTCTAGGAAAGGTGAAATAGATTTTCTTCCTCTGTGAATTGCCCACTTAAGGACTTTGCCCTTTCTTTGCTGGCTTTCACTGTTCATTAAAATTTGTAGTTACTCTATAAGCTCCCTTCTTTTGCTCTATCTTACACATGTATTTCATATCAAAAACAGAAAAAAGAAAAAGCTTGCTGCCTCTCCTTACTTGTTAGTAGGAAAACATACTCATGCTTTTATGAATGAGAGGGAGCAGGATGAACTTTTGGTAAGTAACCTGGTTTAAATGTACTTCTTGCTCCAAGTGTCTGTTGATAGATGAATGGATAAAGATGTGGTATATATTCATAATGGAATATTATTCAGCCATAAAAAGAATGAATGAAATCTTGCCATGTGTGACGACATGGATGGAGCTAGAGGGTATAATGCTTTAAGTAAGTCAGAGAAACACAAATATCATGTGTTTTCACTCATGGAATTTAAGAATACAGGCAGAGGAGAAAGAAACAAACCAAAAACAGACTCTTAACTATAGAGAGAGAGCTGATGGTTACCATAGGGGGGTGGGTGGGGGGTGGGTGAACTAAGTGATGGGGATTGAGGAGGGCTCTTGTCAAGATGAGCACCAGGTGATGTGGGATTGCTGAATCATTACATTGTACACATGAAACTAATATAACACTGTATGTTAACTGTACTGGAATTAAATTAAAAATAAATAAATAAACGTACTCCTTGGAACCGGAAGTCAAGAAGTTGCCTGACAAACTAGCACAGTACTTTTGGTACTGATGGTTGGTGTTGGGCATTCCTGAAAGATTGCTGCCAAAAGTACCTTGTTGGTGTCAGCAAGATTTACCCCAGAGTTGGTGTTCCAGCTTGACTGTGTTTGTGTTAGTGCCAGGCAACGATTCAAGGCTTACTTACATTTAAATAAATATTTCCAAAGTCCAGGTGATGAATATTTTTAACAATCACTTTTTTAGGTCGGAAAAGCTTCATGATTGGACTCTAAGATGTGGATACATCCACAAGTTGATCAGAATATTCATGTTGCATGTGCAACCCTTAGGGTAGGATCCTGTAAAAATACAGCTCTGTGAGGTCCAATCCCAGCCGGCTGATCCATTATGCATAACCTGAGACATTTTACTTTCGTCATTTGTAGAAAGCTACTCCAGGTTTATATTCATACCAAGACGGGTTCCAATGGTCCTTGGTGAAATGGGTTAGGTAGGGACTGCTTGTCCAACTAAAGGTCAGATTAAAGGAGAATATGATAATAAGAGCTTCTACATCTTAGTATGTTTACAGAAATAAAGTAATGCTTCCTTACCACTTGGTTACAAAGTTGATTTTAACAGCTGGCCTGGGGTACATTTCTGCTCTAGCACCCACCTGGAGTGGTAGTCCCAGCTCAAGATTGGTTATCCCAGCTGTTTGTACTATAGAGGCCCGAGTTCCTATACTTTAGATCATTCAGAATGGAACATTGTTCTTTCCCTCATTAGCACTGTTGGTACAAATCATTTTGGCACATATATATGTAGTTTTATGTGCCTGAAAGCAAAAATCTGGGCTGAAAGCACCTTGAGGCAAATACCAGTGTTTGCTGTTTTTAATCTCAAAGTGTAGCACAAAATGTTGCACCCAACAAAAGTCTAAAAATAGATGGTTCCCATTCAGAGTCTTGTGATCCATTTATAACTATGCCAAGTTTAACAGGAAAAGAGTAGTGGATATGGGCAATTGAGTAGTAGTGAATCTCATGGCTAACACCTGCTTCAAAGTGTGCCCTTGTATGGTGCCAGAAATACCATGTGACTCATCAGAGTCAGTTTTGTCTTCGTGTAAAACCTTACTAAATATGTAACTGTCATCTGACTTAATAATTTTTTCTTGATTTTACTGGCTGAAGTGCCTCTTTGGGTGTAGTTCTGTTTATTTTCTTTACAAGTCTCTGGGCTGGGGGTTGATAATTACCACCGATTTCCACAAGATGGCACACCAAACCCTTTTATTGTATTGCTAGGTTTCAAAGAATTTTTAACATTTGCCTATGCTCTTAATTGCATTAAAATCTTTTCTGCTTTTTCTTTAGATGGGCAGTTTCAAACCGAGAAATGCTTATAGCCCAAAACAGCTCCTTGGAATTTAAACTACACAGACTGTATTTTATTAGCTTATTAATGGGTGGAACTACAAATCAGCGAGAAGCATTACAATATGCTAAAAATTTTCAGCCATTTGCCCTAAATCATCAGAAAGGTGAGTCTGCAGTCAGATGTTTTTGATATTTGCTTTTGTGTTTGGATGTAGAGCCCAGCCCAGGGCCTGAACTCACAACCCTGAGATCAAGACCTGAGCTGAAATCGAGTCAGACTGAGCCACCCAGGGACCCTGAATGTTTTTGATATTTGGAACAGACCCATAGCCACTACTGGGATTTAGTTTATCTTAAGGAGATGTGATACGTATTTGCTAATGAACTGAAACAATTGTAGATGATAATCACTTTGGAAAAAGGTCTGATGGGACCTAGAACAAAAAAAAAGTAAAACATTGATGCCTCTTGGATAAAAGAGACATTGCATTTTTGGGATTCCATATGTAAAAGATATGAGAAAGAGCAGGATTACCCCCCCCATGCTGCTGTTACTGCCCCACAAAGTGTCTGAGGGTGCACCAGGGTGGCACCAGTGACACTGAGCGCCAGTGTGGGAATACTGGTCTTCTGACCAGTTCTATGGCCAGAGATCAGTGTGGCCTCCTTTATGACATCAGTTTTACTGCTCTAGACAATGGTAGTTATACTGTGCTCTGTATAAGAATAAAGTAACTTGAGGGGCGCCTGGGTGGCTCAGTTGGTTAAGCGACTGCCTTCAGCTTGGGTTATGATCCCAGGGTCCTGGGATTGAGCTCCGCAACGGGCTCCCTGCTCAGTGGGGAGCCTGCTTCTCCCTCTCTCTCTGCTGCTCTGCCTGCTTGTGCTCTCTCACTCTCTGTCAAGTAAATAAATAAAATCTTTAAAAAAAGAAAAAAACAATAAAGTAACTTGAGGTTCATATTTAGTGCTTTGTTTTCTTCCCCTTTCTCTCGCTGAAGGGAGAAACCCAGCTTAAGGACGAGAATTTTAAAAAGACATCATTAATAATTTAGGCTCTGTCAGTTGGGGGAATTTTGCCTTTCTCAGCCTCTTTCCCCCCAAGCCAGCCCCTGTTTCAGGTGTGATCATTCGCACTTAAAAATTGCTGCTGTTTTTGCGTAGACATTCAGGTTTTGATGGGAAGCCTTGTGTACCTGAGACAAGGGATTGAGAACTCACCGTATGTTCATCTACTTGATGCAAACCAGTGGGCTGACATCTGCGACATCTTCACACGGGATGCCTGTGCCCTCCTGGGGCTCTCGGTGGAGTCCCCGCTCAGCGTCAGGTATGCAGATTGGTCGTGCTCTTGGAATACGCATTGCTTTGTGTTGGTTTTCCTTAATTTCTTGTCTAGTTCTTGATGTTAAAACTGAAGAGAACATTTGTCTTTCTGAGGAAGAGTATAGTTGGTATTTCAAGAGATCATCACAGTTGGCAGGGAAACAGTTTCAGAGCAGTGTGATCCATGAACCTCTGGTTGTCCCCGAGATCCTTTTCCACTGTGTTGACATTTGCAAAGATGATGCAGAAATAATAGTGGTTTGAACTGCTTGCACATTAGCCAGATCAGTGCAGTGGTCCCAAAGTCCAGAAGGACTCGCTGTATTCCTCACACATTGTACTCTGCCACACACTTGCATTTGAAGACACACTAGCTTTACTTAACACTGTTCTTTAAAAAATGATTGGTTTTATTACATCCTGACCTTTAAGTACACATCTTTTTTTTTTTTAAGATTTTATTTATTTATTATAGTCTGTGTTCCAAAGTGGGAAGTTCTCATAAAGCCCTTCAAGCCAAAGTATCATGCTTGTCTTAGAAAACACCTGTATGTGGGGCGCCTGGGTAGCTCAGTGGGTTAAAGACTCTGCCTTCATCTCAGGTCATGATCCAATGGTCTTGGGCTCGAGCCCCGCATAGGGCTCTCTGCTCAGCAGGGAGCCTGCTTCCCTGCCCGCCCCCCACCTGCCTCTCTGCCTACTTGTGATCTCTGTCTATCAAGTGAATAAATAAAACCTTAAAAAAAAAAAAAATCTTTAAAAAAAAGAAAACACCGGTATGTTTTTTGAGTTTTATGAGCCAATAAACTAGTTTTGCTTTCTTTTTTTAATGAAAGAGTTCTTACTTGAAAGAATCACTAAAAGATAAACCAGGGTTAATTACACTTGGGTTTTGGGCAGATATTTTTCCACATGTAGGAAGAGAATCATGTCAAGGAAAGCAACTGTCTTTTTGTATCTTTTAAATTCATGAGTTTAAGCTACAAAAGAAATTTTGGGAAACTTGTACCTGCCACTGTGGGCTTGATAGCTTCCCAATACTTTGCTGATGAAATTGGTTATATTATGAATTTGAGTTTTGGGATATTGTATAATGAAATGTGTTAACACTTAGAAGATCTTAATTCACTGAGATCTTACAAAGTCACGCATGAGTAGAAGATTCATTCACAGTATGAGACAGCCAACTGGAGTTTTATGTGGCAAGGTACAGAAAGATTCGATGATAAGGATTCAGATTCCACTTTGCAACTAACCTTAAGAATCTCTTCCTTGTTGAGTTTTGGTGTGGCATTAAAGGGGAAATATCACAATTATCTGAAAGGCAATTAAATTACCATATATCTGTTTAAAGCTAGATTTTCCTTTCCCGTTTACTTCAATCGAAAGAGCACACTGCGGCAGATTGCGGAAGAGCTAGGAGTCCATCTGTCTTCTATCAAGCTAGGCATTAAAGAGATTTGTTAAAAATGTAAAGCAGTGCCAGTCTTCTCACGAATTTATTTTTGGTTTGGAAAATATAGAAGTTTTGCGGGGGGGGGGTAAGAATGTTACTTAAAACATAATATATTTATTATTTTAAATGAGTTGATATTTTTGAAAATTTCTTGATTATAATTCCTAGTATAATAATGGTAGCTATAACCCACAAAAACAAGTGTCTTTTGAAGATTCTTAATATCTAAGCATGTAAGTGGGTCCTGAAGCCAAGAAGTTTATGAGACTGTTTTAAGAAAATAACTTCTTTAGCTCTCTCCTATTTATTTAATTCCTCAAGTGTTTTCAAATCCCCGCTATGTACCAAGTATTTTGTGGGCTCCAGAGATGGGTAAGGTGCAGTCTGCGTCCCACAGGCTGTTCCACCTGAGCACAGGGGACACTGAGGCAGTTAATTTTACACTGTGTGACCAGCCGCAGGCCAGGTCCCAGGGGGAACATATTGTGACGTGGTGGAGACTAACGTGCAGGGGTTTAGGATTGGCCCCGGTAGGGAAATAAAAGCAGCAGGATTGGGCAGAGGGTAAATTGAACTGTGATGCCCCCTCCCTGGAGAGCTCTGGAGCTATGGTGGGCCTGTGGAATTATCCCCAGTTGGGGCAACAGAGCTGGGCTTGTGTGTCCTCACGCAGAGCAGTCATCACATGTGACCCTGGTCAGGTGGCTTGCTTCAAGTGACGACGGTCCTGAAGAGGGGCTCAGCTGAGAGTTGGCTGCCAGTGCTTCCAGATCTGAGAAATGAGCACTTCTGCCCTGGACAGGGCTATCCTAGTCTGTGTGCAAAAACAGTGTCAGAAAGTCATTCATGACTGATAAGCAGAGCCTGTTGAATCTGGTGGTTTTGTAAAATGTAAAGCTTTTTTTTGGGTGCTAATTCAGCAAAGCAGAGGGCCCTGTGCCCTGTTTAATGGCCAGGGCCCTCGGCACATGGAGTCTGGAGGGACTGACATTTCCTGGGACCAGGGTGTCTGCCACCTGGCCTGGCACTGACACGTCCTCTTCTGCTCTCCCAGTTTCTCAGCAGGTTGTGTGGCGCTGCCGGCTTTAATTAATATCAAAGCTGTGATTGAACAGAGGCAGTGCACTGGAGTTTGGAACCAGAAAGATGAATTGCCCGTGAGTTACACTTCCTATCAGTTGTTTATTTTCTCCTGCCTTAGAAGGACTTGGATGTTAAGTAAGAGTTTAAAATGCTTGTTTTGCCTTTTAACCAGAGAGCAGCATTGTAGCCGTTCAGCCAGGATTCGTTTACGTGTAGACATGATTAAACAATAGAAATGGGAAGCCAGTACACTTTGGAAGCACTGAGTTTGCTTTTTTTTTAATTCTGACTTGGGAAAAAATAATAAAATGTTGACTTAGAGTGGCAGTGCACGCCCGTGAAGGAAGACCTCCCGGGTGTGTGGGGGATGTACACTATAACTTGCAAATGTGTTCTCCAGTGTAGTGGACAGACCACTCACACTGGGATTCTTTTAAAATATAAAAGCAGTGAGGTCAGTTGATTAAATTTAGTTTTGTCTTAGGCATTGATATTTGTGAGATTATGGATTTGTACTTATTAAAATAGCACATAACTGTTAAAGGTTATCCGTGGGACACCTGCAGTCGTTAGTGGCCTTCCTGTGCTGTGTGTCCACTGCTGCTCATGGAACAGACCATAATTTTAAACATCAGCTCGGATCAGTTGCCAACTCTACTACTTCTCTTAACAGTAGTTGGTCCATCTTTAAAATGGGGACCATCCTTCTCTTTATGGGACTATTAAAGACTAGAAATAACATTGATATGCTTAGGATAACATGGGACACATAGTAGGTACTCCAGTTTTGCTGCCATAGTAGTCATGACACGGAGTGACAAAGGTCACTGCATGTGAGTTTCCACCAGACCTCTGACAGTAGGCACTGAAACTCTGCCTAGAATTCTCATGCCTGTCGTGGTTATGTCAGAGATCCTAATAGGCTATATGTGCATTGGGTTTTTTGCTTCTTTTCTGCCACACCTGTGCACAGGTTTATCTGCAGTTACCTTCCAGCTGGTAACTGTCATTTGGTTGCCCCAGCTTCTTGTTGAAGATCTGGTTTGATTGAAGACACAGGTGCATTCCCAGTGCTGGGTGTGGGCAGGATACTGGCAGCACCCCTGCTTCATGGCTGCTCATTTGAACAAGTGAAAAGAACTTGAGCCTTCACTTGCTTTGCTGAAGCAGGTGCCTGCAAGTCTGGCAGTTTCCCAGCTACATTACGGGCATCTCTGACATTTGGCACTGGCATGGAGCATACTAAAATCTGAATTCGCGTATAAAGCGTGTGTGTCAGGGTAGTAAGGCAATGGGAGGTAATGATCGGGCCATTTTTTCTCAGGATTATTCTGTTACACTTTGTCAGCGTTCTTGAAAGAGTCTGGGTAATAGACTTTATATTGATACAACCATTTTAGAAGGAAAGGAAACAAAGAACTGACATTAATAGAGCTTTTGTTTGTTTTGTTCACTGTGAAGGGTAATAATTGATACACCTGCCATGGCTCTGAAGGACAGATTGTGAAAGGTCTTCCTGAACTTGAGCTTCAAGTTCTTGTTTCAGCTGGTTTCTCTGGACCATTAAACACAAAACATGAGAAACTCAGATCTGAAAGTTTACACAAAAGTAAACCTTGTCTAGTCTGCCTTTAAAGGAATTACTATTACACTGAATTTTTATCACCTAGCTAAGTGTGCTACAAAACAGGATTTCTGGTGGGTTTTGCTCTTAGGGTATATCCTGACACGTTTTCAAGAGTGTTTGACTTCTAGAGCATTGTCTTCCCTTTGACTCCTCAAACATGAGCATTTGGTTTGAAAAGTAGTGTTATATATAATTTTGAAGGTTAATTAAGATTATGAAGTAAAACTTGGATCCCTAAGACTACCCTTCTTTGAGGTAAGAGTGCTTAAAAAGTTAAATTCAGATGAGTAGACTGATGTTTTTGCTGCCCAGTGCATATTAATATGTTTTCTGAAATATAACTTGAGGCTTTTTACTGTTTTTAAGATTGAAGTGGACCTTGGTAAAAAGTGCTGGTATCACTCTATATTTGCCTGTCCCATTCTTCGTCAGCAAACAACAGATAACAATCCACCCATGAAATTGGTCTGTGGTCATATTATATCAAGAGATGCCCTGAATAAAATGTTTAATGGTAGCAAGTAAGTGTCTGACTTTTTAAATGTTGATTAAAAACATTTTTCTTCTGGAACTTAGTGGGAGGGTTGTATCTGATTTTTTTTTGTCAGTCTTTTTATTTGTTCATAAATTTGATGATTAGATTTACAAGCATGTTTTTTAATCTTAACTTTTGGGGTAGGCAGTACATTGTCCTTGTTCCCCAGGCCTTTACACGAAATGTAACACATTATATATGGTTCTGAACTTTGCTTTTTCTACTTGATGGTATATCTTGGAGGTCTTTTACATGCTGCAGAGAGAGCCCCCATTCTTTTTTAAACCTGCAGAGTAGTCTACTGTATGGAAATGTGATAATTCCTTATCAATGAACCTTTAACTTCTGTTGTTATAAAGTGAAATATTTTATCTACATGTGATATGTAAACTGTAGAATTGGAATTGCTAATTCGAAGAGTATATACATTTATAAGTTTTGTACCCATAATGGGCACACCTTATTTAAAAAAAAAAAAGTCTCAGAAGTCTATTTCTAGCTTAGGTAGTTTGAACGTTTTTTCATTGGAGTTCATTTCGGACCTGGTATGGTAAGGTCTTTTTTCTGAAAGAAGGTCCTGGCATGTAACGAAGCTCCCTGTGCCCTTCCCAGACCGTGCAGCAGCCCTGCGGGTGCAGCCGGATGGGCCTGGAGTATGCCACTCTGTGCACGCCCTCCACAGGCTCCGTGCCTTGTTGACGCCACAACTTGGGTCACATTTGCTGCACTTGACTGCCTTGTGTTACCAGTACATTTGAAATTCCTATAAAGACAGGAAAAAACTGAACTTTGGAGGGGAAGAATTGGATTGACTTTTAAAACCACAAAAGCAGTTTTCAAAACCATTGTCTTTGTCTTGTTTACAAAACAGTTTTCACTAATTTCTACAAAAGAGGAGCCTTCAGTTTAGTGTCTGGCTTGATTGGTGTTTATTTGTGACCCTTCAGAGTTTGGCTGTTATATTGGGGGAAAACATAGTTAACCCTCAAAACAAAATACAGATGTGTGTGTGTGTGTGTGTGTAAGTAATTGTTAGAGATATTCTATAGATGAAAATTGAATGCTCAGTACTGATCCTGTTCCTTGATTCAGTATTTTCTTTCTTGTCTTTAGATTAAAATGTCCATATTGTCCAATGGAACAGAGTCCAGGAGATGCCAAACAGATATTTTTCTGAAGAAATAACTTTAATTTGCAATTTGTAAGTGAAACTGAATTGTGGCGCATTTCAGAAGAGAACGTTCCATTTAATGCAGCTAACTGAGGACTCCCGTGTTTATATAAGCTAATGCTCCAGACTTTGCCAACATTTTAGTGTACACACACTGAGGGGAGTGCTCCAGATGAATATTATCATAGGGCTTTATTATATTCTTGGTCTTCATTTTTGATCAAGTAAATACACCAGCAGTTGTCATTCAATGCAGGTTTTTGTACTTAATTATATGGTGATTTTTTTACTTTTTAAGAGCAGAAACAGAAATCAACCTCCCTGCCATGTGTTTAATATTTCTCCTGCTTTTACTTTTGTCATTTCTTGATAATTGTAAGGTTTGAGAATGTTTGTGAAAAAGTTTTACTTCCTGTTATGTATACATAATTAAATGAAAATTCTTCAGAAAAAGTTTGAAAAACTGAATTGTGGTTATAAAACTAATTTGCATTTTTTTTGCTTAAGGAAGAAAGCTGTGATAGATTCCCAATTTGCTTTTTGATGTTTTCCTCTGCTCCAGCTCTCACCGAGAAGTCAGCAGACCTGCACTTGAGCTCTGCTTGTAGCCCCAGCGGGCTGCCTGTTTCAAATTCCATCGTGAATTTAGCAGGTTGGTGTGAGAAGTCTTCCACTAGAACAGAGTGGAAGGAGTACTATTGTTTCTTTGCTTTTATTGCCAAGAGGTGCTTGTTTTAAAAGTGTGTTCAATAAAATGAAATTCTGAAGTTAGAGGTGTTCTTAAGTTAATATTTACTCTCTTGGTCTTGGTAGCCCTATTCTCTGAAATCTGCCTTCAGGACTTGGCTGTCTGTTTCATTTGTATATCATCGCAGACACAGTGTTGTTTGTGTGTATATGTATGTGCACCAGCATCAAACATTGTGTATCGGGAAGGGAAGAAGCATGTTCCAGTCCTAAAATGCAGTTACCAGACTCATTACTTTAAATCCTTAAAGTTAGAAGTTAGCATATTTTCTGTAGTGCAGAATATGTTTATTGCTGTTTTTGTATTTGAATAGTATACTGTTCAATGCCTCTCTTCTGCAAAGTGTATCATCTCATTGGCTGTGAATCTGTATATTACTCTAACGGATACAGATGATGATCTTTTCTCTTGTGAGGTATCTTCATTTAATGCACTGTCCAGAAATAGCCATGTGTAAGAGTCTTTCTCTGTATGATGAACGAACTACATGGAAAGGACTTCTGACTTACACCTGTTAAGTCACTTCGTTATGAGAAGAACGTTATACGAAAATCACCAAATATTTTGCAACTTTATTTCATCTGACTTGGAACTGAACATCACTGTAGGAAAACTTTGATGAGAAAACAAAGAAAGAAGAAAATGCAGAAGGAAAGAGGACCGTGACACTTTGCATTTTAAACTGCAGATTGATTTCTTTTGCAGGGAGGGAGAAAACAGGTTTGGTGCTGAGTTCCCTCGAAAGTGTCAGCATGTGCAGTCATACACCGGCCTGCATGGTTTGTCCTGAAATGTTTATCTGGGAGAGCAGGGATTTGTCTCAAAGGAAAGGGGTGCTGCAGGAAGCCCTGCTTGACTGCTCTGTGTGGTCAGACTCCCTCCGAGTGCTACCGTGCGCGGGGTTGGTTGGCCGGGAATGGCGGCTGGCCTGCTCACAGTGTTGCTCTGTATGACCTCTGTCTTGTTGGCCCCACCAGGACTCTAGCTCTGTGTTTCGGCTTTCCTGTTGGAACCCTCCCTAAACCTGCTCTCTCCATTAAAGCAGTGAAGGCAGAGAGCAGAGAGAAGCTCCTTGGACTCCGTAAGAGAAGGTAGAGAATTCCAGGCAACTCTGGCTGAGGATATAAACCTGGTTTATGACCTATATTTCCCTTTGAGTTACAATCCAGAGTACCTTTTTTTTTTAACTACTTTTTTTCTCACTAGGCCAGATTTAGCTTTACTCACAACTTATTCTCACCTTTCCACCTCTAACACTTATGAAACATTTAGGCTTCATGTAAGATTTGTACAACATAGATGTCACACAAGAGGCTGGTGGTAAATATTTTGGGGGCCAGACACTTCACATGGTCGGCTCAGGCCACCTTGAAGGACAAAAGCCAGAACTCTGCTTTGTCTGTCTCCCAGTATTGGGAATCCTGTTGACAGTTTTCTGTGCAGCTCCTGAAACTTTAAAAAGAGCATGCTTTTAACTGAAGCGTTTGATTTTAGAGTTTCTTATGTAAGGTCCTTGTAGTCTACTCGGCAGGATAGGGCCAGAAATTTGAAACTCTTGATTTGACAACTTAACATGAAAATTATGTCTTGTGACCTTTAACTGAATGCATGGACTTAAAACATTGGTGGGAAAATGTGAAGGAAAGGTGGGTTTGAAAAGGCCAGACCTTAACCAAAGATGCCGAAATACAACATGTTGTCCTTTCTGCTCTAGAAACACCTTCAGGAGTGGTGTCAGGACCTTGTCGCTGAGGCTGTGTGTGTCCGCGGTGCGGGAGGGTGCTCCTTGTCATGCCCTGCCTTCGTTTGCAAAAGGTCATGATAGAGCCAAGGTTTTTTTAGAGTCAGACTCATTATAATAATACACATTGCAAACAGAGTTTCAGAGTGGTTTCCTCAGCTTCCTTAGGAACCATTCCATTTATCAGTCGTGGACAAAGGCCATGGGACTATGCTAAACCAATAAAACCTTATTAGAACCTTACATTCTGATTTAGCCAGAGCACCTGTGCTTTCAAGTACAACCTGAAGGACAGTGGCTAAGTTTGTCTTTCAATCTTTTTTCTCCTTCGTGTGATCATCACAAATACCATTTCTGTTGTTTTGGTGGTGATTATGTGAGACTTCTAATACATAAATGAACGGGTATTGGTGCCTCTTGATTTTAAAAAATGTTGAAGAGAAGAGCCACCTCATATTCATAGGGTGTGTGAGTATTTTATGAGTGTATGAGCATTTAATTGAAAATAAGAAAGGTATGAAGTTAATCTTTTGATTTTTCTGTAGCAGCTGATGTATACAGAGACACTAAACCCCGCACCAAATTATGTGGGGAATGAGGATCCTTTTTCTCTCCAGGTAGTCCCACAGGCCTGTAGTTTCGTTCAGTATTCTTTATGCTGTGAGTTATTTCCACCTCAGTGGTTCAGCCTTTGGGACAACAGATACTGCAGAAACCAAGGACTCTTGGTTATTCGCACAAGACAAGCTGCTGGTAGACATTAGCCCTCTGGTTTTCCAGCTCAACTTCTGATTAGCGGACTGACGGTCAAGCTGGTCAGTTTGCTTAGTCAGCAGACTCAGGTTATTTTCAGGGAAGGCATGGTTTGGTTAATTTCGTCACTAGGATATGTAAGGTGAAGACGCAAACCAAATACCTTTCATTACTTAACTCTACGTACATTATCCTTGGTAACACTAGAATGCTGTGGTCTTGAGGGAATGTTGGCAAGGAACGCATACTTGGAAGGCCTGGGGCTCCATATGCCTGTCCGGCTGGAGTGGGCTTTATGGTGGTACAGTAGTGTTTACCATAAGCAGGTACAAACTGCATGAACTGTTCTTACTGAGCTATAATTGAATAGATACCAAAAATAGAATGACAAATGTATTTTAATAGCAGATGAGGCGATTAGTTTTAGGGTGAATTTTCTGCTGTTGATTTTACTTCAAGAGATAGGGAGAGAAAACAAAGATTTGTTTTCGAGACATTTCCCTCTACAGTGCTAAGCTGTAGTGAGCATATGCTTCGTTTACTTCCAAAGAGGCAGCAGCAGCTGGAATGGGCTTACAGCACATGCTTTGTTTCATGTTGTGGGCGAGGACTTACACTCTTATTTCAGTAGTCACTTCACGTTCTCCAGCAAGGCAGATGTGGGGTTCACTAGGATTTAGTGCCTGATCTTTTTGTTTGGGAAGGGGTGGGAGTGAATGTAGCGGGGATGGGAGGAAGCAGAAGAAAATGGGCGTGTGAGTGAGCATGCATGTGTCCAAGACTCACCGTTCCCCCACCACCACTTGTGTCCAGCAAGGAACAGGCATTTAGTGTATTTTGCTCACGACTGCAGCGTGCATGTATTTTTTTTCCCCTCGTCCGTGTTTTCTAAACTTACACTAAAAGGATTCATCAAATCATCTTGTTCAGATGGCTCAGGATTGTATTTCTTTTGCTTACGCTGTGCTCTTGGGTTCTATAGTATTTCTATAATTATGTAACAAGAATAGTGTTGCACTGTAATCTATCATATAGAGCTATATGTATGGAAAATTTTGATCAGTTTTTTAAGAAATGTATCCTGTTTGCAAAGGCACAATAAAGTTGCATCTTATAGACTATAGGCAATAAAGCTAACAATAAACCTTATTTAACACAAACCATACTCATATTCTCTGTTCATTTGATTTTGGACAAAGTCCACCATATCAAGTAGTTTCAGGGACTTCATTTTGACTTAAAAAGTTCTGATATACCTAATTTATAAATTTCAGACTGATATAATAGAGTTTTTGGAAAACTATAACAAATGCTTTGTTAATGTGTGTATTCCTATGTAAAACACATGGCTTCTCCTGTGTATATTTTTAAAAATTAAAGAAATGCACATTTAAAAAGTGTTTTGTGGAACCAGTCTGTGTAAACGTGACAGGTCACAGAGGGAGGGAGTCTGGAGGTATCAGTGGTAAGAAGAGAACATTGCTGCCGGTATTTGCTAAGTGTCTGGAGTGTCAAGAGTTTAAAAAACATCTTTGTCTCCATCCTATCCTGTTTCTGTGCCACCAGCAGTGGAAGGAGAGGTGGGGGAGGGGGAGCACCATCCCTGGTTGCTAGGAGGGGATGGCATTCGTGTGGACAGGCTCCTGCACCCTGTGCGTGCTGCGTCCTCTGGCTGGCTGGGACCCTCGGGCTCGGGTGCCAGTGTATGACTGGGAAGAGGAGACCTGGGGCCACTGTCCTTGGGCTGCTGGTGGAGTGGGACACCTGCGTTCGGCATTGGCTGGGAGAACGCCAGACTGAGTTGTCGATCCGTTTAGTGACAAGCTAACGTGGAGACCCAGGATCTGTTTGTGCTGCTTTTCTATATATATTTTTAGACTCATTCTTATCTGACATTTTAGAGTGTTTCCTACTTGGGAACAAGCGTGGGAACCACCCAGTTGCATTTGGAGCCAGTGGCTCCGGTGGTAGATGTGAGGCCTGGCCGGCCTGGCCAAAGACCTCACTAGCTATCCCTGCAGCATTTGGGACTCTCTAGGACTCAAAAGTGTGATCTCTAGCAGCAGCAGCATCACCCGAATGCAGAACCTCAGGCCTCAGCCCAGATATGCTGAATCCGAATCTGCATGCTTGTGAGAAAACTGGCTTCCCTTACAAGGGGCCTCTTGGATTTTGTGAAGTATCCTCCCTCGTCAGGGACAGGTGAGGATCACATCTACTGAACAAAATTTACCCTTGATGACTAAGTCCTGAGTCATCAAGAAAAGTTAAATTTAGTGTGCTTTGAACTCTGTTTTAGGACTGTGATTTTTAACACCAGTGCATTTCTTTAGGCATCCAGGCGTTTGAAGGGGTGCTGTATTTGCAGCATGGCAAAATTTGTTTCCCATCCCCTCTCCACCAAAATGGGCAAGGACGATCACCAAGGATATAAAGTAATGGATTTTTGTAATGGCAAGATAAAGACTGCAAATGCACATTTAGACCGAACAGTAGCCACCCCCTGGTAGAGGCTTTGGTGATAG